TTTGTTCATCTGCACATCTCTGGCACCCAGGTCAGCGGCCTGTATACAGTAGGTGTGCAGTAAATATTGATTGACTAGCATGTGTATTTATACCTATATATTTACAAATCAACCCTATATATGCATAAGGCTTTACATATGTTCATATAAACATTATGTACATAGATCATCAACATGTTGGCTATAATGTCACAAGACAATCTTCTCAAACTTTGTACATTCACATCACCTAGAGATTTTATTAAAATGGAGATTTTGATTCAGGTGCTCTGGGGTGGAACCTAACAGTGCATTTCTATTAAGTTCTCAGGTGATACTGAAGCTGCTGGTCCACAGACCACACTCTGAATAGCAAAGTATTTGTACCCCTTTCAGTAGAATACCGTAGGCAAAGCATACAAGTAATTAGAAGGTCCTCTTTCTCAAAGTTCATGTTCAGTCCTAAGGAAAATGGATGATAATGTCCTCAGGGAAACTCATCTTTATTACAAAGCTGAATCCTTCAATAAGTATTTATTGAGCACCAATGCCAGGTGTAGGAGCTACAAGCAACCTTTAGTCATTCTTGATGAAAATGCAACTAGAGACTTCTCTGTATTCTCAGTGATACTGGAATAAAGAGAGCATTAGAGAATGGCACCAAAATGTGTATGTATGTGCATATGGGGAAGGGAGTGGGTAAGCAACCACTTAGGATCCTGTGCCTTCATGAAGTTCCTATTAATGCTCATCTCAGGAAGATTCCTTGCTTGCCATCTCCAAATCCCCATCATTTCACCCAGGTCTGCCATATATACATACACACACATACACACATATACACACACATACACACGCACACACGTGTGCATGTGTGTGTGTATCCTATAGATCTCTGAGGCCAACTTCAAATTGCTGGATTATAATCCTTCCCCATCTCTTTCAGCTAGATACTGTATCAAATTTGATAAAGAAGCCAGACCAGAGGAATGGTTATATCACCTGAAAATCAGAAAAAAAAAAAGTCAGAGAATTCCCTTCCTTTTCCATTTGCCTAAACCCTCATCACTTCCATGGCTTAAAAAGAAAGTTCATCTTGGGCCCATTGCATATAACAGTGTCTCCCCGAAGCAAAACAGGTAAAGGAAGAATATAGCATTCAGAATTATAAGAAGTTTGTTCACAAAAAAGGGCTGAGTACTTGGTTCAGATTCGTGGTTACCATCAATTTACTACAAAAATCTAAAGACATGCAAAGCCTCAGAGATAATTTGGAGATCACTGAAAACCATCACATCCTTAATAATTCATTTGTTCATAAACAGGCAAAATTGTTGTTTGAATTATTACAGTATGCCACAGGCATAAACATGAACACATTTACAATTTAGCATGCATTTATTTTGGTTCTATATAGTGGCATGTACTTCTGAAACTGGGATACTTATATCAAAGGAAGAGGTACACACTGCAGCAAGCCAGAGGGTAAATTAGCCCAAACACAAACCTAGGAGATTTTTCAAGGGTGTTAATTTTAATTAAGATTTGATGGGAAGGGACTAAGGGAAATGATTAAAACAACTGATAATGCATTTAAATAATCATTTTACACTAAAATAAACATGAACTAGGATGTCTAAAACTTCATTAATTTTAAAAATGAAACATTAAAAAGAAATTTCCTATTTTAGGAGAAATTTAGCTAGCTCTTCTCTATCTATGGGGGAACTTCTTGGTGGAACAGTCTAAGAATCACTCATATCTATTTTTTAAAAGCATATTTGGAAGATTTATTATTTATCAGTGCAAGGACATATTTCTCAGGTAAGATCTTGGAGAAATGAGATTGACTTCTAATTAGAATGTTTTGATCCTAAGCAAATACTTTTTTGAGAACCTAATGCTGAATGCCTTGAATCTGAATAAATGATATAACAATAATGCAATGACAAATTTACTTCACAAATGTAATCACTGGACAAAATTTGAATGTCTAAGGACACACTATAAAATAGTTAAACAGAAAATTGGAAAAGAGATGGAGACTGCTGTAATCAGACAGCCTATGTGCTGTAGTCCTTCTTCCATTAATCTGATTCAGAGACTATGAATACAGAGTCAATTTCAGAACAATTTTCTTACTTTACATAGTGAAAGCCTTAGAAAAATCTAAAATGATTTAATACGGTACTTTCCATTATAATGAGAATGCCAACCCTAGTCTTCTCTACTCAAGAAGAAAAGACAGAGAAAGCAATCTGGGAAGGAAGGAGAGTCAGGGTGCATGTCTGGTTTTTCAAGACAGAGATGCAGATACTTACACGGCATTGCATGGTATATGCTTGGCCAATACTGTCCACTGTCTCTCTTTAACCAAACACGAACTGTCCTACAAGAGAAGAAAATGTGTGCATGAAATCACATTGTTTAGTCATGGGAAAATGTTGATACAGATACAAAGAAAACAAACTTCTTAATATTAAATATGTACATTATATCTTAACTACATAATAGATATACACGTATATCTTAGCCATATATATAAAATACATATGCATATATATGTATACAACATATACCTCTCAAAAGAGCCTATATTCCTTAAATTTAAGGCTTCTTTAGAATTATATATGACTCTTTAAATATATCCTCATATATGTGTATATATCACGAGAGTCCTTGAAAATTATTATTTTCATTGTTCTTATTTTGTCTTTTCAAGCATCTGACCTTTGCCCTAGTCTTCTGGCATTCATCCGCCTGGGGAACTATTAGGTTTTACTAGTGAAGGAAATACAAAGAGATGAAATGAAATAATATGCAGTGTCTCACACGAACAGGAGGATTACATTGTAAGTTCATAGTCTTGCAAACCAAGCCATTATCTTGAGGTACAGTTTTCCCAAACATGCCCAAGCAATAATAAGCTCTGAGACTCAGATTTTCTGAGCTAGAGGGGCAGCCATGGGGCCCACTATGGAATAGGGTGATACTTCAGCAAAGGCTGTGTGTGAAGTTCCAGGCTAGCAGCTGGATAGAGACAAGGCAGACGCCCAGGAGAGTTCAGAGGGCAGAAACCAAAGAGATCGAACCATCTGGGGAGCACCACTAGGCTCTGACCAACCAGAAAGGCCGGACAGCGATATGCCAGCCATGACATTATTAGCATTTGTCAGCAAAGCAAACACAACTAGGAGGTTAAAAGTTATTACCCCAGAGACCAGAAGAAATAGTGAACATCAAACAGAGGGAAATGGTCAGTTTCCCACTGCCAGAAGACAGGCCACACATCTCGCCCCACACCCATAAGCCATCCCAGGGTAAAAAGCAGACTGAGAGACTGAGTGTTTTTATCTCAGAGAGTTTAACACTACCTAAAGAGACTATTTAAGTCATCATACTGGACTAAGTTTTAAATTGTATTGGATATCCCCACCCTACAGCTAATCACTGGTTCTCCTATAAATAAGTAGTACAAAAAAGACTAGAGCAACCACAGACACGGCAAAGTAATGCCATTTTCTCTGCTCAGCCACAAGTTATAGTGATATGCAGTGACACCACATTGTGTACATGAATAATTCAGTCTTTCTGATCAACAACATTGTAATATCAAGATACTATCTCAGTAAGAATCAATACAGGAGTGACATCATGGTAGATGGTGGAGTAGGACACTCCAGGAATCAGTCCCTCCACCAAATCAGCTATTGAGGTGGCAAGAACTGTCAGCCCCAGCCCCATGGTAGGCAGTCATGGAGACTGTGGCTCATGTTCCTAGAGGGCCTACTGATGTCAGAGTAGGAACCTTGTCTTCCACAATTTGGGGATGTATGTTTTGATTTGTCTGATAGTTCACTGAGAGACTGGAGCAGAGGCTGGCTATTGTTTCAACCCCCCAGGGGTGAATAGCTTCCTAGTGTCTTTCAAAATAATTTAAAGAAACAGAATTTTTTTTCCTTACTGGATCCAAGCATTTAAGGAAATCACTGGATGACCTCAGAGATAACAGAACAGAGACTTCAGTGATCACGAACAAGGAATATAGTATTTGCTAGAATAGTTTAGAAAAGTCACTAAATAAATAAGTAGATGACTATAACATTCAACAAGAACAGCAATCCCTGAAGAGGACAGAGAATTTGATTTCCAGAGTTATTGCATTACAATATTCAAAATGTCCAGTTCTTAACAGACAATTGAAAAGTATACAAAGAAACAGGAAGATGTGGCCCATTCACAAAAA